GAACTATATTAGTAATACAAGATGGGAGAGCTTTAAATGACTATAAGGATTGTAGACAACAGTACAAATATAATTTTTACTTTGTCAGTTGTCACTTGTCAAATCATAGGAAAAAAATGACTTAATGTCATTGAGATAGATACTAAGAAAGGTTAGGTTGGGTAAATAACATATCAAATACATATACATTTTAATATCATACCGTGACACCGTATAATATGCTTCTGTTTTTGATTCAAAAATTCTGAAGTTCTGATCTCTAAGATCTTCTCAATATCGCGCACCGCAGCTTACAATTTTTTAGTTTTTTAGTTTTTACTTATTAGTTATCGTGTAGATGCAGTTATCTCTATCAGAAAAATGCAAATATGTCTCAATAATTTAATATAATATCGGAATAGTTTATGTTCGAAGTAATCGATATCGGAGCAGTATTATGATGGACAATGGAAATTTTTTTTTGTAGTAACACAATGTCGTAGGCCGTAGCAGTACATAATCGTAGAATTGGTTTTATCCCAGTCACCACATTGCAGCCCAACACGATTTAATTTCCACAAATTATACTTTATAGTCATTAGTCATTGTAGATAGAACTGATAGAAAGAAAAACAATGGTTATAGTCAACAAAATATTATGGACTGTTTCATCACTATTTTTACTTATTGTATTATATTTTTAATTCGACCGTCCAGTGTCAACGACTTGTAGCAGTCGTCAACATCAACGTCTAGACTTAAAAAAAGAAATAAAACAAATCAATGTTAGGGGTTTGCGGTGAACTGTCAGACCAGGACGCCGTACGGCGATCGACACGTCATGTTCTCGTTAGGCCGCAATGACCTGGTTTTCAGCAGGCAATACTGTCGACCGAGCAAGTTGATATGATCAACGGTGAAAACTATGACATGCAGCAACGGGCATAGCAGCAAGATCAGGTAAAGCAATAAGTAATAACGCGTTTGAACACGGACACTTTTGCATTTTTGCTGCCAGCACTTATCATTAAGACTCCTTCAAGCTGCGCTGCGGGCGTAGAAACTTCAATGAACGGCTCTATCCTCCTATTTTTATAGCGAGCCATCGAGTTCACCGGCGATCTTGCCGCCGGCCCGCGGTTGTTTAATTGTACGTTTGTGCTTGCCGCCGTGCAAATGCCACGTGTGATCACGAGACTTGTGTTTTTGTCGTTGACGCAATCAGCCTTCATCATCAGAATCATAAGCAAGTAATCGATTTTTTTTTCCGTCTTAGAGGTTGACCACAACGAAGGCGTCGCGTACGTTCACCGCCCGAGTGCCTCCACAATACTTCGTGTGACCACGATACGTGATAATATCGTATTTGTCATTGTTGTGATCAGCCGACATACCCAATTTGTCAAAACACCTACTCATCAATTATTATGTGGGCCATCAAGTTTTGCCGGTTTTGGTTTCCGTCGTGGTGTTCCGGGAAGTTCCGCCTACTTGTGTGGTATATACTCGCGGTATCCACTCGTCGAGCAGTCGCAGTGGTTTCCACTCGTCCAACAGCCGCAGTGGTTTCTTCTCGTAGACCGAAGTCCGAGAGAAGCAAGAAGACGCCTGCCCGCTATCGCAGTTTCCGCGAGGTACCGCCACTAGTGGCTACTGGCTTTTGCCGTGGTCAAGGTCATATGTTTTATATAAAGTTCTCCTCTTGTTCAGTGGGGCACACCAAAGTGCATTTTATATGTAGTCGTCGCTGTAGTATTTAGTTCTAAAGGATTAATAGGATTAATGTTTGGTTTTGATTTTTGAGTAATGACACTATTGAAGTATAATGTTTGGAACACATGTACAACAATACAATTTCATTGTGCAGTTCATAATATCAACGTTTACAATTAAATTGGTTTTGGCATAGGCGTGCGCACGGGGGCAGCAGAGGCAGCACATGCTGCCCCGGGACTTTCTTTGGGGCTACCGCGGCCGGCTAATATTGAATAATGGACCTCGCTAAAATTATATTTCCAAAAAAAAAATGTCCATTGTGGATAAAAAAATTATAAAATTGTATTATGCGCGCGCCCCACATAACATTTTCCAATGTTATAAACTTCTATGAATATTGAAGTTGAGTTGAATTTGAAAGGTTCGGAAAATAAGATTCAATAATTCTAGAATAAGTGTTTATTTTTAAACTTCACATTAAAGTAAATTCTAAGTGTTCCATAAACACTTGATTTAGATTAGATTTTAAATATTAGAAAGTTAATTAGTATTAAATGCTGAATAAACTTACAATAACTAACATTTAAATATAGTATCATTTACAAAGTTTATTAAACCTAAATCTATAAACATTAATATTAGGTTACCAAGTTCACTTTGCATATACATTGAATTAAAATTGAATTGTAAATATGTTTACTTAAGTATTTATTTAATGCTTAGTAAAATTTCTTCCACATTATTACACAAAAGATGTATATAATAACAATATATATATATATAGTAGTAATATAATAATAATAAAGAGAAAGAATCTGAAATGTGTAAAATTATGTAAATAAAATCTTCAATTCGAATTTCGGCTAAAAATATGTGGATATACCAACAACTAAAAATAATAATGTCATTTCGTTACATTATCTACAACCCAATATTTACGCAACGGTCAATGTCATCGATGGGTTTGACTCGACAGTTCGTGAAATAATAATGTGCCTCTCAAGCGACTATGCAGCGTGAGCCTCGTCACGGAAAAAGTGGGCGTGGTTACGGCCAGCCGGGGCGGCGACGACATGGCCATCTCTGGAGCGTTAGTTACGTTTTACTTTTACTGTGACGGCCTCTTAATACAAAAATATAATATATTAATATTATTTGGAATAAATTGCATTGGTTAATTAATGTAGGTACCTATAGTCTATACTAAATATTTTTAGATCTACACCAAAAGACAAACAAATAGTTAATGAATAATTTGAATTCATTAAAATTAACCCTTCAAGAGTTTAACTCCACACAAAAGACTTACACATAAACAATATCTATATATTTAATATTTTAAGGAAAAAGTGGCCTGACCAAAAAAAAAAATTGGCCTGCTTAAATTTTGGCACAACTATTAAAAATCTCAAATGGCGCCACTGTTTTAGAGTATTGTAAAAGCCCAACAATAAGGGATACTCCAAGTACCACTCGACTTTGATCGAGACGAAAACCGTAGCTAACAGAATGAGTGCGCCTAATATTTGATGGGAGGCAATCACACGTGCGTGATGACGCCTATGGCGAGGATACGAATTGACAAACACCGGAATCTGGATGCTACAGTTTATTTAACGGGGAAGGTGTTTCTGTGACCGAATTGGTCTGGTGAAATGATCACAGAACGTAAATAATATAGGGGGCAGTATTTAAAACTAAACTTAAAACTATTTAAGTCCGGTGATAGCGCAACAGCAAGCAGAGGTCGAAAGAAAGTGCTGAACTCGACGACCTGAGCAGCCTCTCACACAGTTCGATGATGGTGGTAGACTCGACATAGTCGACACCGAAGGTGTTAAGTGACAGACTCCGAGCTTGACACGATGATAGTAATAATAAAGAAAAAGACAGACTTACGCGAGTCCCTTTTGAATAAATTTAACTTTATTGTGGTTGTAAAGCATTGGTGATCACTTTAACAGATGATCAACAAAAGCAGGTATAATATTACAAAAAAAAAAAATGGTCGCTTTATTAGCGAACCAAAATCCTTATATATATTTAAAGTAATAGGCCTTTTTTATGTACCAATTTTGTGACAAGGCTATTTAACTTTTTTCCAATTTATTTTTCACAGAATTGTTCCAAATGCCTTCCTAAGTGTCACCACGTCGCCCGATTTTCAAAATTTCGATTTTAAAGAGTTGAAATTGGTAAAAATAAATTGTTTACGTACAAATTGTATATCTAAATACAGGGTGATTCTTTTATCAAACAACACTCAATATTTCCAACACTATAAACTTTTTTCAAATTTTTTGTTATTCAAAATTTTAGATTTACCCTGTTCTAGAATTTCATACATTTTTCATATTTTCCACCCTTATATTAGACAAACCACTATCATCTTTTGATTTTCAAATGGTAACCTATACTTTAAATTTTATAAATTAATGAGTCTATTTTTTTATGAATTATCACGTTAACATTTTCCTTTTTTCGTTCATCGGTTGATGAGATATTGCTACTCACAGTTGGGTGGTTTTGGGAGGTGGTTATTGTGTGGAGATGTATTATACCTCGCCAGTAGATACCGCAGATTTGTATGCCTCGGGACAAAAGATAATACACTTTTTTCAAATCTCTTCACAAAATACACAAAGCCCCTAAAAGTATTTTACACTGTTTATTTTCAAGGGAATCATGCAGTTCACTCCACGAACTCAACGAAGGTGATTATGGCACTGGTCATAATAGGGCACGGGGTAGTTGTTAGAAAATTGATAGGGATAGGGATACAATAATTTTGGCTTTTAGGGTGTGACCAACGTAAAAAAACATTATAATGTATAATAAATTATGTATTCACATGTTCCGCTTTTTTAAAAAATTATTATAACAATACAATTTGAAAAAATATTTTATTTGTACTCCTGTAAATAAGTATGTTGTTTATTTCTCTACATTAACGGATCTATTAGAACGTATTAATAATTAATAATAAACTCAATTTGTATTTAAGTTATAAATGTATTTAATGTATGGATAAATTGTTCAAATTAATTACCTATGCTAATCTTATACTTATCGTATTTTTCGGTCATTATAAAATTAAACATTAGGTGTACATAACTATAATTATCTATCTAATGTTACAAGTTATATCCTAAACTAATAAGTTAATAATTGAAATAACCATAAGAACTAGGTTTATACATATTAATATATTTAATTATATTTTAATATATTTGATTAAATAATAAACTTATAATTTGTAATGAATGCAAAACTTTACTAAATTTAAAAATAAACAAGAACAACATTTATTCAACTTTTCTTTGGATATAATTTACTAAAACTGAAATAATTGAGTAGCAATCGCCCATCGTCTGTAATAAAAAAACATAATAAAGATAATTTTTTTTCCATCAAATGTATAACATTTTTTTTTTAAGTTATTCATAAGCAGGGCTCGTAAGTTCATGCATTTGCATGTTTTTTTTGCTACCCAGAAAAATATGCTAACTGAGATACAAATCCGTTTCATAACAATAGTAATAATAATATGAAGTTTAATAATGCATGTTTTTGCATGTTTTAGGTGTAAAGGCATATTTGGCATAAAATCGTTTTTTTAGAGTTTATAGCGCATATTATTTCATAAAAAAATTGTTTAGAAAAATATTTGAAATGTTTCTTGTTTCTTATTTACTTTCCCGTTTACTGAATGATAGTGTTTTGATTTATTTTGATTTTCGTGTGACTACTGACTTTTCTAGTATTTCCCTATTTAGATTTTATGCGTTTTACTTAATACCGCGGAAACAATTCCGTCGTCGAAACGATACCTGTGCAAGCATGTACAGGTGTCAGGTATGTAGTGTTCTTGCACACGCCAGTCGTCGATGAGTTGTTTAACTGTACGAGTCGTGAAAATGTCAAATAACTAATATTTCATTCCAAATATTTTCATTGTAGGTGCAGGATAATGGTGTACAAAAATTATACAAAAAATGACTACCTAATTAAAATCAATAAAGATGACAAATCCATATGATTATATGAACTTCACAAGTATTCATTTTATTAATTTTGGTTGTTAAATATATAAAAATTAAAAGGAAAAAAATACTTTTAAAATTTATGGATATATTCTTATTATTTTAAAATTTGCTCATAAATATTTTACATAATGCATATTTTGAGTGCATAATTTAAAAATGTAAGGGCATTTAAATGCATATTTTCGAACTTTTTAGTGCATATTTTAATGCATATTTTGCCAATTTTTAGTGCATGAATGCATGCTTATTTGTGCTTTTTTTAGTGCACGAACTTACGAGCCCTGTTCATAAGGGACCAAAACAATTTGATAATTTTACCATATGTTAGTAATATCATTTTGTATACATATTACATTATATTCTCAAAACCATCAAAATGTCAAATTGTATTTATATTACAACTCTAGCTTGATAATTTAATCCAAGGTTCCTCAAAACTGAAAACTCATAAATATATCTTATATCAATAAATTTAAATATATTATAAAAATATACTGTCAACATATACTGTCAACATTTTTTTTGAAAGTATTTGATGTTCAACTTTATAGTTCAAGTATTACGAATTTTAATCAAATAATTTTTGTTAATTTTTTATTTTGTCTTATTCAAAAATGGAGTTGAAACTATAGAATCATTTCTCTAAATATATTATATATCATAAATTTTTTGATTGAATAAAATTATCCAAGCATACTTTGTTCTATTACATTTAAATCAAACGAAAAATTAATAATGCAATTAATTCCATAAATACCTACATTTGACTAAAACTGTTTAATACCTACTACCTAGTTAAATAAAAACTATAATGGAACTTACTTTAAAAAACATTTCCAAGTTAACTATTTTTGTTCTAGTGAATTTTAACTTTTTGTAGTAAGCATTATTCAATTTCATTGTTAATAATATCAATTTCTTACATTTCATGTCCATTTCAGTCCAATTACTGCTGTACAATGCGAATATTATTGAATCTTGCTTTAATAAAAAAAAGTTAAAATAACAAGGATTTCATTAAGAATTTTTTAACCTGGGACTATAAAATCAAATTCGACGCTTTTTCTACGGCGTGTATTTGTAGTTTTTTTTCAACAGTGTAAAATTTACAGAATTGTATACTTTACAATGTATATTCTCTAAATAAATTTATGTGTGCAAAATACCAAAATAATATGGAAAAAAAAATAAATTAAATAATAATAAAATGATGTTAGTAATGTAGACAACATACGTTGAGTATTTCATATTTCTATTGATTAAATAATATATTGATGTATGTTAATAGTATTACTAATACATAATTTAAATATTTACTGATTTTTTTACTCCTAACATAAATTGAACTATGTAATGGAATTATCAACTGTGTTCATTTGAATAAAATAATTATAAGTAGTACTATAACGTCTATAACAATGCATAATAAGAACATGCTAGATCTACAATTAATAAATAGACCTAAAAAAAAATAATCCATATAAAAATTACTTGACTGTGTAGATTCCCAAATAAATAACACACCATAAATATTTGAAATAATAATGAAGGAATTGAGCAAAACATTTTTTTTATCACAACATCTGAAGCTTGAAATCTATCATCGCTGGAAAAACTCTGCAATCATTTTATTTCATATAAGTTAATTCAAATATACACACATATTAACTTCAATGAATTTAATTTAATATTTATCTTGCATGGAAATAGAGAATGGGTAATTTGAAACAATTTATCATAAACCTAAATTACAAAATATTTTATTAACTTTAACAACAAGGATAATTAAAAAACAGTTTTTTTTTAAGTAGGACTAATAAGACTATTAAGCAGTAAGTGTGACAGCTATTAACTTTATGAAAATAATGTTATTATGTTATAGCGAAATGTGTTCTTTCATTGCAGAGTAATACTATACACTATTACTTAAAACGAGTGCACTATTGTTTTTTTTTTTTTTTTTATTGATCCTGAGCCCGGCAACTGTGGCCATTAGCTATTAGTAGGTACTGTAGGTTTTTGTATTGATGGTTTGTAGGTTTTTGGAACGGTAGGGGGAACACGTGTGTGTTTGTTTTGGCAGAATTTCGAATGGGGCACCCGTAGGTTTCTGCCATGCCCCGGGGGTGGGGGATGGCAGCACTTGCTCTCCGGTCACCGCGACTTGTCCGGAGAAAAATGCCGCCCGGTGGCCGAGGATCGAACCGCGACCGGCTGCGTCGCAGCGGAAGAGTCAGACCACTCGGTCACCTCGTCCCCCACTATTGTTTTGAAATCAAGACATATAAAACTAGGCTTAACTATGTTTAATATCTTGTTGAACATGTTATTATGGAAGATCGATTTTTAAATTGTTAGATTAAAAAAAAAAAAAAAAAATTATATTAATCTAGTACAAGTTTTACATATTTTTTTTACCATTATGAATATAAACCAAAGCATGATGACCGATAACGATGATACGAAAATTTGTGACAACATCACTCGTCTAAATAGAGTTATGAATTTTTCATATTTTCTGAAAAAAATCAGAACCTTGTTAGTCATTAGGTTTAACTTAAAGTAAATTAATTCATTCGTCAACCAAAAGTTAAGATTTGGCATCACCATTCAGCCGCAAAATATGTAGTACACTCACAAGTATTGGAAAAAATGTGTTAATTTTCTTATTATAGTACATAGTATTAAAGTGAACAGAAACTATGAAATAACAAATGTATATAATTATCCTCATTAAACTTCACTTACATTCTATTTCCGAATTCAAGGTTTTATTTGTCAGGTATATAACCTATTTGCAATTTGAATGAATTTAATAAGTGATTATACTTAGAATTTTTATAATGACGTAATTGAACATTAAAAATAATATCAGGGGGACCGGAGTAATGTTCGCATCTACAAGATGATATAATATTTTCAAATTATTTTCTGAACGTGTTGTATACCACATTGATGTTAATTTGTGTATTAGGTACTATTGTTTAGAATTTTCAAATTCAGACATTTTTCAGAAATTGACAAAATCAGTGTTGAGAAGGAACTTGTTACGAAAGGAATGAATTCCTGGAATGAATTATTTTTGTAGGAACAAAGTTTGGAACTACTTCCTTTAAAATTAAAGGAAAAAAGGGATTTGAAAAATTATTTTTTTAAGGAACGTGAACAAATTCTTTAAATTTTAAATCGTAATAATTTAATTGTCTTTGTTTCTACTCGTTAAAAGATAAGAAGATATTCTTAGTTAATTTATGTTTAATTCATTGATTGTTGGTCTTGCTTAACATTGTAAATAGTTAAAAAAAATTCTAAAACATCAATTTCGATATAAGTTGGTTAAAAAAGGAACAAAAATTGTTCTTGGTTCATCTTTTAAAAGAACTGAATTTTGCACGAGTTTTTTCATTGAATAAGGAACAAGGATCTTGAACGAGCTTATATGTTAAGAAATGAACAGGGAATGAAACTAGATGCTTTTAAAATTGAACCTTCCAAACACTATGAAAAATCTTAAAAAAATATAGCATTTTTCATGGATAGCAACTGGGTCATGATTAATAGTTACAAAAATTCACATCAATGATCAGAAGAAATTAAATTTGTAAAATCACAATTTGGTGGGCTGGTAAAGTCTATAGGTACTCTACGTATGATTATACATTCAATTTTCTAATTATTTTGTTTTTTTTAGTTTAAATAATACTGTTAAAGTGTTAAATATGTATTAATTTAGCATACATAGATAGATAGGTTGATAGGTAGATTTTATGGTACACATTAGGTATGTATTCTTAGTCTTTAACCATATTATTCTTAATATGTTAACTTAAGTACATAGGTAATGTTTTTCTAGAATATTTAGTTAGATAATATTTTTTTCAAATTAAAATGTAATAATATTTCAATAATAAAAAAAATAATTCTTACTCCATAACTGCTTGATGATCCATTATAACTGTTTTTAATTCATCGTATATTATATCGTGTTCATTAGGTATCTTATTATATTCATCTGTATAATCTAGAAGAAACAAAACAATTGAGTTCATCTACCAAAAGCTTAGTAAGTCTCAAAAAGTATGAGCAAAGTTTAAAATTTATAACTTTTTACAATTGTTTTTTCCCTAATGATACTCATTCGGTCATAACAAAAACACATACAAATTATCATAGCACATATTATATTTAAATCGTATAGCTTAAGTTTGGTTGTAAATTTAAAAATCCAGTTTCTTGGATAAGTGCCTAAGTATTAAAAATAGAAAAAAATTACGGAACTTCATAATACAAAAACATGAACCATTTTTAATGAAATGTTCAGAATTATTTTTGAACGCAGTGATTTATGAATTACAATTTTTTTTTATTCTACTAATTATACACCACTATCCTGCGTCCAGTTTAGGATTTCTAGGTCCCTTATATATTTTGATTACCAGCTTTAAATTAAAATTGAAATATTCGTCATCAATAATAATTGTATGAGTACGTATACTCTAATAAAAGTCTTATAAAATATCATGTATTTTTTATTATTCGTGTAATCAATTATTTAGGAAGTCATAAACTCCATAGACAATAAGTAATAACTTAATTCAGAGGTTCCCAAACTGTGGGTCGCGACCCAAAAGTGGGTCGCGATTATACTTTTGGTGGGTCGCACTATTTTTTTAAATAATACAAAATATAATCATCTATTACTTTTCGTTGATGTTCAAAGTTCAAATTCAGTTTTATCGTCAATCCTTATCTGTGAGTATGACAAATTACGAGTTTACCAGCGGCCGTGTCAAATACTATATATTATACAATATACTTATTATACATTTTTTTCGTAATTACATAAAATGTAATAAAATAGTTTAATTTTCTGTTGTATGGTAAAAAAAAAAGGTCATTCATTGATATTGTGGGTCGCCATATTTTAAAAAAATTTCAAAATGGGTCGCACAATAAGAAGTTTGGGAACCTCTGACTTAATTATTAAACTAGTCTTATTTATTATATTATATTGATAAAAATTGTACATACTGATTATTTTGATACTATAGTCTATAATACTACTAATTACTATTGGCATTGCATTATATTTATATTTTATATATCGATAATTTTAGTAAGTTATATACATCATGGGTAAATAACTATTTATGATCGCATAATTGAGACTCATTTTAGTTATGGGCTGCGCACTTACTAATATGGAATATATTATGTATCTATATTGCATGATTTAGCATGGAAAGGAATCCCAGCTGGCAGTGATTTTTAGATTTAATTATCCATGGAATTAATAATTTTGTACTGTTTTGTTGATTAATAAATCGAAGTGATAATATGCACTGCCAGTCAGTGGCCGCCACTACACCTGCGTATCACAAAGTTGCGATCATACCTAGTTATTTAGTCACGATATATATGTTATAAATGTTATGTGATAAAGTGTGTATTGTATAATAATAGTCACTAGTCGAGTTGAATTTTATTTATATTGTACATAACGTCTGAAAAACTAATAATTTAATTATTTTTTTAGTATAATATAAAAACATTATGTTTATTGTATTTTTTTTCTTTAGTATAGATTGTATAATATCCTAGATAAAAAATAAAAAATGTATTATATATTAATATAACGTTTTTTTCTTTTAAAAATACTAATTTTTCAAAAGTGACATCTGATAATTTATGTTTGGTAGGATTATGAATAAATCCTGCCAGGGAAAACATACGTTCAACAGGCGCTGAAAAGCACAATCTGGTATTAAATCGAATAAATAAATTTAAATAGAGTAATTTCCTAAAAGTTCTAGGCTACAGTTTTCGAGATATCGCCTATAAATACTATTTAATTAATGATGCAATAAAATATTTATGGTATACATAAATTTAAATCTGCAGCGCCTTTTACACATATACTTAAACATTGTAGAACAGTCGTAGTGTGTATACTGTATGCACTACTACTAGGTAGGCGAGTAAAAAAAAAAGTAAGAAATTAATTTTTCAAAGTATCGCATTAATGTATCGAGTATCTTCCGATAAAATTATTTTATGAAATACTCGATACGTTAAATGAAAATGTATGGAGATACAAGATACTCTATACTTCATATAATTGTACCAAGATATAAGATACATTTGTATCTAAGATACTGCCCAATCCTGTTAATACATCAAATTATGTGCAAATATTCAATATAACTTAAAAGTCGTACTAACCAATTGGGGAATTAGAGTCGCTAATTGATCTGTGTCCGACCGATTCGAACGCACAGCAAATTAATTCCAACTGACAGTGCATACCAAAGCATAGTGTAACCAAAAGAATATCGAATATAAGGAACGACATCGCGAAAAAGATGAGATACAATGCCTCGGCGAAGTAAAACATATAGTAGTGTGCGTTGTACGTTTCGTCAGTCACGATCAAATAAAAATTCATAAGATTCTGGCGGTAATACCCGACTGATCCGTCGTGATTTTTGACTGGTGATATGTCTTCGCTGAATGCCAAGGTAATAACCATATAAGTGATTGTCGATATGGAATACATGATCGCAAATAAGGCCGTTAACGACACCGAACGTTTTTGCCAACGATCCAGTATCATAATATGTCTGTTCCTGTTGCTGGACGATGTAAAACAGTATCGAGTGATCGACAAACAATTCCATATGTCGTTCGAGTGGTGGACGACGATCCAAATCTTGTAGATTACGTACAACGTGGTTTCTGATTTCCAAAAATAATCTATGCTTATAGGTATATTGACCGTCCAATAGTACAGACCACTGAAGTTCAAAATCATCGATATGGCAAACATGTACACCAAAAAGAAAGCTATGACAATGTGATAAATGTTTCGACCCTGACATTTTACGGTTCCAGGATCCAAAATTTGATACAAGCCAGTAAATTTGGCCAACTTGATGTTGAAAACATAGTTTTTCTCGTTACGAATATCCATTTTAATAGTATTATTTTACTGATTTGTACAATTGTACCTAATAAATAATAATTAATAACACATAAGTCTCTGTCGCCAGTTAAAAATAATTATGTACCGAGTACCTACCACTTTCAACTGAATTCTGTTAAATATTATACTCGATATGAGGTGCCTCAAACATACATCTAAATTAATTTTTATCATATTTTCATTCTTTCATAAACTTACATGATTGACGTGCCAAAAAAAATAGTATGACAAATAATTTTACATAATTTTCAGAAAACTTAAAATGATTTGAAACACTCGCTACATATATATGTTAATATTAATATTAATATTATATAAAATGTACTCTTCTATTAGTGAACTAAGGTTTTTAACTAACGTCATTTATTTTTGTAGACGACTTGTCGACATATTTATTCGCGATGGTTAAGGTTTAAAATATTTATTTTTAGAAACTATTAAAATTTAACTTTTCATGGTTATACTATTTTATTATGCATTTGCAGTACAATACATTTTTTTTTCTATTATTATTGCCACACAGGGGTCAACCGTTCACTATATTTATCCCCATGCAACATCGTTTATCAAATAAGAAATTCAAATTACATTATGAAATTCAATATAAACAACTATAAAACAAATAGAGTAAAACAATACCTACCTACGAATGTACGAAAACATTATATCACGCAACTGCAACTTTTATAACTAAATACATGCCTATGACCTACTGCATTGTATATTATTTAATAGTGTACGGCGAAAAGCTGAATTTAAACTATATAGGTACGTAGATATTAAAAATTCATCAGATCAAAAAAAAAAACTTAACAGTAAGCTCGGTCAACGTGGAGGCATAGTATATTTTATGACGTGTAATCTTAATTCTATCAGAGTTGCCTAATGAAACTCAGAAAAACTAGCAAACGCTTCATGTTAGACTTTCTGTTATACAGAATTATAACGCTTGTATTTTTGAATCTTGATATCAATTTTACTAAGCAATGCAAATCTCAACTGTGTTAAATTTAAAAAAAATATATCAAAAAAAACTGTGTTCAAATTTTTTTTGTATTCTTATTGATAATAAGTCTTAATAATAACTGCTTCGGAGACTGGCCATTAGCTACAAGAAATTTAACATAACTATTACACTATTTAATAAATTGTTAGACTAAGTAGAAACGTATAACTATGCAGGGCGTTTCACAAAGCATGCTCACCCACTATTTTTTTTTCAACGTTGGAGTTATTCAAAATGTAATTTTTTAATTTTTAAATATACTCTAAGACATATTTTCAAATTCTTGAGATTTTTTACTACTTAAGGAGAGTCCTGTGGAGATACAAAGTTCTATTTTTCAAATAAGAACCCTCCTATTACCCTTCTATTACTGTAAATAAATAAGAAGATAATTTTTTAGAAATTCAGAACTAAAATTCGTTCTAGTAGTTTTTGAATTATTTAACTTTGAACTCTAAGAATAAAAGGTCCATATTATATGGGTGGATAGGCCTATCGGGAAATCGGGATTTTCCCAGTAAGCCCCCATCCAAAAAAATAAAAATAAAAAATAATAATAATATAAAAGTCAATTTTTATAATACTGGCTGGCGCCCTGGCGGCCCTTAATTCATATTTGTTATATTTGTTAACTCCATGGCCCAAATACCAATGTAGTTTGTATTATTACTAAACCTTTTCATTAACAATTGGATTAAATTAGCACTTGGCTTGCTGTTTTATAAATATATATTTTATTGTTCCGGTTATAAGTTATAAGTTTATGAATACTTAATGTGCGTCAGAGTGACTTCCAATTACCCTCTTTTTAAATATTATAGTGACAGGCAATAGTATGCGGCCGGGCTTGCGCTACTTTAGAAACACGAAGCTGAATCTACCTCATTGATTAATTTCGTGAAAATTATAATTGTTTTTGTGTAAATCCATGCTAGTAAAGTGCTAAATATTTGTGAAAAAAA